AGTAAAAAATTTATCACAAAAGTACAAATTTTCAACTTTGATTTAGAATTAAAAAATTATTTCAATTTACACCTTTTCCATATTTTGATGTTTTTTCGTTTATAGCGTCTACTAACTACCCTGAGAAGTGTGGCTGCAATGATCCGCAATTTTGAGCGCTAAATAATTTTGAAGTAATAACAATTTTCAAATGTGATAAAATGTTTATTTTTACTTTGTAAGCATTTTATTGTGAATTAAGGTGACTGATGAAGATGATTTAAGACAAATGGTAGAAGGTTTCGAAAAATCTTTTCGAAAATTTAGATTGTTAGTTTAAATAGTATACTGATACTCGAGTCAAAGTAAAATACTGATAATCGTCAAAGTAAAATACTGATAATCGTCAAAGTAAAATACTGATAATCGAGTCAAAGAAGACCAAGTCAATTTATTAAGAAAAAGATTAAAGCTAACTCAATAAAACAAAGTTTGTTGCACTATGATAAAAATTTTTTGAATTTTTTATTTTCTTATAAAAATTGTATAAAATTGCCTTAAAAGAAATATTTTTTATTTTTTTTACATTTTAGAAATAAGTACACAAAAAAAATAATACTTTGATATCGTTTGTTTTGTGGCTATCAGAAACCGCTAGAAATTTTTAGAAAAATTCTAAAATAGCTTTAAAATGAGAGAAATCGTTCAAGCAAAATAGTTATGAAGCGATTTTCAATAAATATTCCTTATTCCTTTTTGAAATTTGAAATGAATTGAGTTTTAAATAAGATCTTGGAATAACAAAACTATCAGATGAAAATTTAGTGGGATATTTATGAGATATTTCGGTAAAGTAAGACTGAAATATATTAGGAGATAACGCATGTTTTGTTTTAAACGTAAATAGCATAATATATTAATATATTAATATATTATATAATAGCATATATATTAAGTTTGTAAATATTAAGCACATTAAGTTTCTTTAAAAGAGATTCACCATTAACAGTTCTGTTAACGCCAAAAATAATCCTACAAGCATGTTTTTGTTTGCTATAAATTTTTTTGAGCTTCCCATAATTGGTACTTGCCCATGCAAGATTACAATAGGAAAGATAACTATGAATAAATGAGAAATATATAATTTTTAAAGATTCCGTATTAAGAAAAGGTTTAACTTTATATAGCATTGAAATATTTTTGGAGATTTTATTTTCAATAGATCTAATATGATATTTCCATGATATATTTTCATCTAATATCACTCCTAGAAAGTTAATAGTTGACTCTCTTTTAATAACTTTTTTGTTCATAAAGAGATCAGGTAGTTTTAAAAAAAGGTTATCATCTTTACTAGGTTTGTGGAACAACATAAATTTAGTTTTCCCAACATTTAATGAAAGTTTATTATTCGTAATCCATTCATTTATTTTTAATAACTCTTCATTAAAACTTCTAAACAGATCTTTAATATTTCTGTTAGAGTAAAAAAGATTTGAGCCATCAGAAAACAAAATAACGTTTAGAATTTTGGATGCTAAATACAAATCATTAATGAACAGTATGAATAATAAGGGCCCTAAGATTGATCCCTGGGGAACACCACAAGTTATGATATGTTTTTTTTCTTCATTTTCTGTATATATTATGTATTGTTTCCTGTTTGAAAGGTAACTTTTAAACCATTGTAAGTTATTGTTTAATACTCCATACATTTCTAGTTTTTTTATTAGAATATCATGATTAACAGTGTCAAATGCTTTTGACAAATCAATAAAAACTCCTAATGTATAGCAATCATTATTGAACCCATTGGATACAAAATTTATTAGATCGACTACTGCATGGTCCGTTGAATGACTTTTTTTAAACCCAAATTGTTTATTATACAGAATATTGTTCTCAGTTAAATTGTTTGTAATATAATATATGGATTTATGTGAGCAAACAATTGAAAAAAGAAAACTCTTTTTTTTCTTAACAAACGATTTTAGAGGTGACAGTAAAGTTATATATAACAAATTTTTTACGTTCTCTTTAAGGTTTATTATAAAAATATTATTTAACTTTTTTTTATCAGATTCCGAAAATACTAAAAAGGGTGACTATGAAACCTTTATATAGCAGTCGTAGCGCAGTGGTTAGCACACTTTCTTCATCTATTGTTCAACATATTTAATGTAAGTTTTATAACATCGATAAGGAAGGAGGCGTGATATGGGCCCGACGTCATATATATCTTTACTGATATGGGCCCGACGTCATTATTCTGATGTCGGCCCAACGTTGTTTTACTAATATCGGCCCGACGACATTGGGCCTACATCATTCTGATGAGCAAAAACTACGTCGGTCCAACGTAGTTAAACTACCATCGACCGCTGTAAAAGTCAATGTTGTGCCGACTGCTCTTTTACGGTGCTCTTTAAAGGTATTTCAAATGAATAAATTAAATAGCAAATGAATAAATTAAATTTCAAACGAATAAATTTAATTTAATTTTCAAAATAAATACTTAAATTCAGATCTCAACTCAGATCAAGGTATTAACATTTTTTAATGATGTGAACACGTGATCTTATCAATTAAACAAACATATAAAATAGTTAAAAAAAAATCCAATCCAAACCTACCTAGATATATAAAAGCTATAAGCCTCTTTTTGAAAATGTTTGTAAAAATTTCTTAAAAAATTATTACTCTAATCTTATTATTAAATATAAAAATGACTCAAAACAATTATGAAGAATATATATGAAAAAAAAAATAGAAAAACAAAAAACCTGCTTAAGTATCCTAAAAAAAGGTAATAAAATAAACAACGTGAAACAAAATGAAATAATAAATACTTTACAAATATCAAAGATAATTTTAATACTAAGATCCCTTCTTTTAATATTTCCATAATTCAATTTTTAAAATCAGCCAGTAATTCATTTTTCTAACATGAATTATTTCTAGATTTATCAAAAATAGTTGAAAAGCCTTTAAATCTCTAAAAAGAAAGAAAACTGCACGAACGAAACTGAAGAAACAATTATAGATTGCTAAGAAAACTTAAAAGATATTATTTTTAAAGTTTTCAATTTTGGAGTTATTGGAATTCACAAACAATCAAATAAATAAAATAAAAAATCTTTGAACCTAATGAGCTTGGTGTTTGCTGACAATATCAATTTTATTTTATCAGACAAAGACATAATCAAACTTCTTTTAAATTTGGATAAGGATCTTGTACAAAATTGTACCTCGTTCAATTGCATTAAAATAATCTTATTGATAAAACAAAATAAATTCTTTTCCATTCTTCAACACAAAAATGTCTTTATTCACTTGTCCCATTATGGTAAAATACCTTAGGTAGAGCCTCGCATGGGATTTGTATTATGGGTTGTAAGATAGGAGTAATATCGTTATAAACTTAAATAGAGTATTTATAGGAATGCACTTTTAATTTACTAACCTCTTCATCATAGCTATCACATGTTTTTGACAATTCTTACAACTAATATTTTGAACTCTTTGTTTCTAATAGAAAGAAATTATGGAAAAGAGTATTTAAGGTTACTGTATATGAAGTTTTATTTTTAAAAAAAGTCACGCAATATGACTTTATAAATGTAAAAAGAAACAAAACAATCTGTGCGAACGGAGTTACTGAAGAAACAATTACTTAAAACACAGATTTCTAAATATAAAGCTTTCTTAATGTAAACCAGTTGGAGTAAGTTTAAAAGCTTTCTTAAAACTTTTTTAACTTTTTTCAAATATACACACACATATAAGTTTTTAGCGTAGTTAATAAAGTTTAATAAATGTTTTCATAATATAAATATTGCTGTTAAATTTTGATAATATGATATAGTTTCAAGGTAATTAAATCATTAAAAACGGCAGTAAAAAGATTATTTTTACATACGTTTATACAAAACTTAAAATATTAAAAATATTAAGTTTGAACGATTAAGAACTCTCATTTCAGAATGCGACAAATGCAGGAGAATTTAAGAAAGCAGTTGTGTTGACAGAAATAACTATTAGATTAAATGAATATTCCAATTTTTTAACTTTTATTAACCAACTCTAATTTTTATTATGCAAGTAAATATTCAACATTTAAAAAACGCAAATTGGACGAGGTGGGGGGAGCACGTGTTTTCCTGTGCCCTCCTCCATCTCCTCTCTACGGCCCTGATAATTGTTTTTTAAACTTTTCAATATTATTTATATTAAATATGCGCTTACTTATTTTAATATTAGTTTTAGTTATAATTTTATTATTTGAGTTGAATGATAGAGATATTTGGAAATGATCAGATATACCTGCTTTCAATAAACCTTTTTGTATATTGAAGACTTAATTTGTAATAATGTTGTCAATGTAGCTGAGTTTATTGATATAGAGTATCAGTTAGACGATTAATTAATTTTTTTTCTCCTTAATGCCATACAGCCGTTTTTCAAAACGCCTTAAAAAAACCATTTGCAGTATCTTTTTTTAAGGCGTTTGAAAAACGGCCTATTTTGATAACATTTTCCTTAAAAAGCTAAAAGATTAAATTCCGAGCTTAGGTTCTCGTGCTCAAATCGTCACACAGTGGGGCAAAATAACTTTAACACTAGAAGCCCCAGGTTTTTATATACCTAGAAACCCCAAACTTGATCAATTGATCCCACTTAATTTTTATATGCATTTAGACATTTAGTTAGTTTCAATAGTATACTGATACTATATTTCTTATATGCATTTAGACTTTTTTGTTTAAATGTATGAAACTAACAGTTAAAACTGTTAATTTTGATTTAAATTAAATAAAAATATAAATTTCTTTCACCTTACATATATATACATAGATTTTATGCCCAAAAACGGCGTGTTTTACTCTAAGTGGATGATTTTATATAGACAATGTAGCGTTTTCAATTTGAAGACATTATGAATATACATTGGATATACATTCAGAACGTAGAGAGCTGATAAATTTGCTATTATGTCATGGGTGCTGACAAGATTGTCAAAAATGCTGTTCCCAACTAATGCTCGGTGTCTCTTTACACAGTATATGCCTCATAAACCGGATAAGTTCGGAATCGAATTCTGGATTTTAGCTGATCTAAGAAGCAAATTTTGTCTCAATATCAAACCGTATCTACGTAAAGATGAAAACCGTGTAGAAAATTTAGGTACTGATGTGATCATGTCACAAATGGAACCTTGTTTAGGTCGCAAGTATAATATTACTACAGATAACTTTTTTACAAATCTATATATGGCAACAAAACTTTTGCAAAAGAAAACATCAAATATTGGAACAGGTAAGCATAATAGAAAAGAAATTCCAGTATTTGATCTACTTTCTCTTTACGATACAACTTTCTACAAAAATAGACCATTGAGTTTGATTGTCTACCATGCAAAGAAGAAGAAAACTGTTATTTTATTATCAACAGTTCATAAAGGGGCGAATAAGTAAAGTGACGGGAAGAAAAAACTAGATGCAATACTTTATTACAAAGAAATAAATGTAGAACTGATATGTTAGATTCAATGTGTTGACAAATTTCAACATAATCTGGGTGCAGACGCTAGCGGTTAGCGCTTTTGGGTGCAAACGCTGTTTTATTCAATATTTTGGACCTGACCGGTGTAAATGCTTAGATCATTTTTTAAAAAGTTACACAACAAAAAATTTCAAGATAAAAGTTGCTTTACATTTTACCTAAACAGTTAAGAGAAGCAAATATTACTCCCTAGTTGCTGCATACAGTAATACACAATTATCAACCCGTTTGAGATAAAAACAGACTGCAAAGTAATGTGATATCAACAGCAGTGCCGCCACGAGGAGAGAGGGTCGCGATGGGCAGCTTGTCCCGGGCGGCAGATATCCAAGGGCCGCCAAATAAAAAGAAGGTATCTAAATAAAAAAAAAGGTCTTTTATAAATAATATATGGAAATTTTTGTAAATAAGGGCGCCAATTGGGATTGCTGTCCCAGGCGACGTAACGGCTCTCGGCGGCCCTGATCAACAGTATGTGCAAATTGTATGTAACCTTTTTGTGGAAAGTGCTTGTCAAATATATGCAAACATTGCAAATAAACTTAACTAGCTGAGTTGACCCGTAAAAATACGGGTCTTTGTAAGTCTATTCCACACAAACCTTTTGCCTTATTTTCTTAATCTAGCTGTCCGTATCGGTAAATACAGGTCTTTTCTTCTACTTCTATATTTATCAATTCCACGCCAATCATTTCTTTACTTGTTCTTTATTTACTTCAATATTTTTTAGTAAACTGTGAAAAAAAATTCATTAAAAAAATTTGCTTTAAGAGCAAAAAAAAACTTTAACATACGCACTTTTTCCGCATGCGTATATAGCTTATTAAACCCCGTTTATTTTTTAATTTTTTTAAAATTCTGAACTAAACTACTTCCTACTTTTAGACCAGCCATGGACCATGGTTTATGGTCGCGTCCTAGCCATATTCAATAGTTTACTATATTTATTATTATTTGCTTAGTTTTAAATAATAACGGTCTTTTATAGTTATCTTTGTATTAGACGGAAACGGTAATGCAATTCTTTAAAACGTTGGTCGCTTAAAGCGTCAAAAGTCATGCAAAAAAATAAATTATAAATTTTGTGGTTTAAAAGTTGAAGAATTAATAATATTATAACAAAAAGTTTGGTAATTTTTAAACGTTATTATTTAGCTCTTACTTATGGTATTTATTTTGTTTTCATTTTACATTTTTAAAAAAATGTTGAAGCACCTAACTTTGATAGCTCACAAGTTAAGTGCGCAGTCATCAGAGTCGCTGTGCAAGACTTCAAATCCGCGCCTAAAAAATCTCAATACATTTTTTTAAATTTTTTTAATCTGGCTATATTTATAGCGAAAAATTAAATATAACAAAAAACCTTTTAATTGCTTTTTTTTTCCCTGCCTCCACTGCAATACCATGTGGAGTTGCAGGACGGTTTTATCAAATTTATGCCTTAATAGGTTTTAGGACCTTTTTTTTTAAGACTATCCGAAGCTTATTAGGACCAATTATGCGAGAACAGTATCAAAATCGTGACACACACGCAAAAAATTTCGCCACGTTCATTGGTGTTTTAAGAAATCCAAAAAATTTATAAATTTAAAAAAAAAAAAACGGTTAAAGTGTATATTATTTAACTTGTTTAACAAATATTTTGTAATTTAAAGAAAAAAATCAAATATTTTGTAATTTACACAAATATTTTGTAATTTAAAGAAAATAATCGCTGGCGGTAAATTTGAACCACGACTATTACCAGTGGTGTACGACTCGCTCGATTTCTTGTAATTCGGCGAACGGGGATTCTGGGATGTCTAGTACAGCCAGATTTGTAAACAACAATACGTATGTAAATACGTTTTGACAGAATAATGCTTTTGTAAAGATATTTTAACTTATTTTTAAACAATAATGCTTTAATAAGATGTAGCATCAATCTTTTTTTACTTGTAAACTAAATGGTTTATTTTGAAAACGCAGGAATATGTTAGTATAAAACTTTTTATAGCATTTAAAGCTTGTATTTTTGTTATAATTTGAACAATAAAAAATAACATTCAATTTTATTTTTAATGTTCAAAATATAACAAAAGTACAAACATTAAATGCCATAAATTAAATGTCATACTATTTTATACTTATATATTACAGCTTTTTTAAAATTGTATATTGCTACACTGTTTACTAACAATGTAAAAATTATTGTAACAATCATTTGAACCATGTAACATTGTTACAAATGTTACATTGTCTAACGAAGTAAACGTATTAGTTATATAAACTTGTTTTTTTTTTTCAATATATGTACGTTTCAATTCTTAACTACCCTCTGCAGTATGCTAGAAGGTTTATAATATAACTGTATGGTTGACAGCAATCAGGGTTTCAACTAAACATAAGAAAAATTTTTAACAACCCTACAATAAGGCTATATTATATTTTTGTGAATGTTTCAATATTTAGACATTTTATTTAGTAGCCTAAAATTATACAACTGCTGTATGAATTGTTTATTGAGCTTTGTTAGTATAAAACAACTCAAACATTCCTTCTAGTTTTAATATTTTTTCAATATTGTTTTTTTATACTTTTATATATGTTTTTGCTATTTTTATTATCCTAATCTTATATATAATATAAAAAAATTAAAGGATATTAGAATTTATAATTTCAATTTAGTACATTATAAATAAATACACATTTTTTAACTAAATATAATCTTTTACTATTTATGAGTAATACGAGCCATTTTTTTGAGGCATTTTTTATAACGTGGAGCTATGTCACGATTGTAAAATTTGATGAAATAATAAATTCGAATATCAACAAAATAGTGTATCAGTTTTCTCTTCAAATGCGATGCATGTTTTGGGTGGAGGTTGTATAAAAAAACGAAATTGCAGTCTTTCTTGATAGCTTTAATGATAGTTCCTGCTATATTTTTGCATACAATTATTTTATTAATGTTGTTAGTGAAAATGGCTTCCATTACTCTTACAACTTCGCATAAACAAGAACTTGGTTCTATTGAATGATTTTTTGTTTCATATTTCTTAGTATAGACAAATTCATCAAAATTACCACAGATTTCAGCAGATGGTTGAGATAAAATATTTGTGCATAATTGACATAAAGAAACTTTTTTAATTAGCCAACCAGCAAGAGAATATAAACTCTGTTCTACAGTTTCAGAACATATTTGTAATTTCAAATCCTTTATTAGTATCAAAGGTTTTACATTACATGTGAGTTGACTTTTGTTCATTGAATAATGAGTTATTTGCTACATTACTTTGTTCATTTACTAAATTAAGGCATAAGTCTAACGATATTGCTGCAGTAAAATCAGATTCTGAAACACAATTTGTATTAGACTTAGTTTGTTCAACAAAAGTAAGTAGTAAAGCATTTTTGTATGTAGACTTAAATTGTTTGGCTGTTGGCCTGTCATTCCAACCACCTTTACTTTACTTTACAGTGACTGGAAATACTAGTCTGACTTCTAGCATTTTCATAATGCCATGTAGAAATCCAATTCTTAATATCTTCCAAGGTTTTCATAGTCTCTCCTTCAGTTAATGCACACCTAGCTGGTTTGTCTGCTTTTAATTTTCTAGAGTTCATTATATCAAAAAGAGTGTCAACTTTTTTAATGAATTCACATGTTGCCAAAGCATCAGGTGGTAAAAGCTTTGCGATTATACATAAGGACATAGCTGCTGAAACTTGGTGACTAAAAACTTGTGTTGCCAATTTTACTCTCATAAATAGTAAAGATCCAGGTTCAAGGTGGCTTTCTGTCAACTTTGGAGCAAGTCGAACTGGATTTTGCTTGTCTATATTGTAAAAAGACTGCAAGTATTTCCATGATACAGTTTTTCCATTTGTAGATATATCATGTCTAATTAAATTATTTCGAAGACTTTTTATCAAGTGTGGAGGGTCAAATATTATGTATACATTTGTTTGAATTGAGGAAGGTGATATGTATGGTCTTGTGTTAAGGAACCCTAGTAACTTCAAAGCTGAAATATTTGTAGTACTTTGGTCACACACAACAGCTCGTACTTGTAGTCCAATTGAAGTCAGTTTGTATGATACAAGATGCGTAGAGAAACTAGTTTGTCATGTATTGTCCACTTTTTTCCATGTTTTGTTTGCTTGTTCATTCTAAGTTGACTCTCAAAAAATTTAATCTGGTTTTCAGAAAGGTATTTCTTTGCAAGATCACAAATATGTTCAATAGATCCATTGCATTTTTTATTTTGTGTTTTTAAAAACAATAGTTTTTTGTTTAAACGATAATTTTTAACACGATTTAAGTTAATTACTTTTTGAAAATTTAACATCTGTTTTTTAGCTTTATCATTTATATTTAAATCTTCTGAGTTGGTAGTGTCTGTACTAGAAACAACTGCTAACTTTACAGACTGTTCATTAGAAATTGATTTACTTTTTTTGTGTGACTGAGGAAGAAATCTTTCTGAAGGTGCTTTTCTTTTAATAGAAATTTTGTGAGGAGGATTTGGTACATCAAAAAGGGTCGGAATGGCTGTTAAAATTGCTCTTTTGCCTCCAATATTTGTTGGATAATACTGTGTTGGCTCAAAATGTTTACTGCATAGAGCGTATGATTTATTTAGTTCTAATGAAGTTTTCTTGTCGAGATCTTTGCGACGGCAATTGATAACCCACTGCTTACATCTGAAATAAAAATTATATATATATATATATATATATATATATATATATATATATATATATATATATATATACATATATATATGTATATATTATATACATATATATATGTATATATTATATATACATATATATATGTATATATATATATATATATATGTATATATATATATATATATATATATGTATATATATATATATATATGTATATATATATATATATATGTATATATATATATATATATATATATATATATATATATATATATATATATATATATATATATATATATATATATATATATATATATATATATATATATATATATATATATATATATATATATATATATATATATATATATATATATATATATATATATTAATAATAAAATAGATACTAACCTATTTTTGTCTTTTAGAAAGCGAAAAAACGACACACTTTTATCAACATTTTTTCCTCGTTTATGATGACAATTAGAAGCTGCGCAAAATCCATCAGACATGGTTTAGTATTCTATACTATAGTTTGTCAACTTAAAATAATTGAAAGAAAAAATATATAAAAATCAGCTGTATCATGCGATAGAAAAGTATATATTGTATTTTTTAATTTGTATTTCGTTGATTATGTTTACAATCTGGCTGTACTACACATCCCAGAAGCCTTTGCGTCAGCAATTACAAGAATTTAATGCAAATTTTGCCGAGTCGCACCCCACTGACTATTACGTTCAGAGGCTTAGCGCGCTAACCACTCGGCCATGCTGACACATCAAATATCGAAATTTTAAAAATATATAAAAACTGTTTTTAACGGATTTGCTGTAGATCAAAAAATTAGGAGAGGTTGAAGCAATGCAATTTTTAAGTCAAAGTATAAAACTTGAAAAATGTTTCAGTATGTTTTATCATTACTTAATTACGTACGTTAGATATTTGCATACACGTTTTCTTCTTAAAAAAGTGTTGCGACTTTTTCTACTAACACTACTATTAAGTTTGGCATTATTATATAGAAGATAGATTATAAAATAGTTTTTCACTTAAAAGGACAAACTCTATTCCACATTAACCTTATCTCTATTTCTCCCTCTAATATTTTTTAGTGAACAATAGATTATGCGCTAGAAAAAAAAAAAAAAATTCACATATGCACCTTTTCCGTATATTTATATTTAGAACTTAACATGAAGAAGGTAAATCATTTAGTTCAAGACAACCTGCCCAAACCCAAATCCTCTGTTGATTTATGCACACTCACTGTCGCTAGGCGTGTAAAATAAGTAGCTAGGCAAGTCAAATAAATTAATTGATCTGTTTTTCTGCATAAAACAAAAACAGAAAATGTGAAGTACTTGATATAAGGAACTGTAATATTGGATTTAGTTAATTCAATACAAAGTGATAGGAAACTGCAAAATAAGGTAGCAACGTGAAAATTATTCAAATACTAATTTACAACAATTTGTATTGCGTTTTATTAAAATAACTTTATTAAATAGTATGAAGATTGATGATTCTTCTTCTTCGCCTTTAGAAAATGATTAACGATTTGAAAGGCTTTTAAATTGATTATAAAAGCATTATCTAAAAATGAAATAAAATCATTATTAATAACACTGAACGCAAATTTATTTGTTTTATGTTAATTCATTTGAAAAATGAAAAATACGAAACAAAATTTAGTAATATTAAATAAATATTAGACACTTACTTTGTGAGAGTACTTTTGTAAAAGTCTCTAATATTTGGTTGGAAGGCTGGAAATACTCTTTTTTTTAAAAAATTCAGTTTTATCAGCATTGCTAAAGATAAAAATTCTTACTGACACAAAAAAATTAGGCTTTTTCTTAAAATATTTCTTGGCTTTTAGTGAATGATTAGGAGTAAGTTTCAGTAATGAAGCTACCCAATAATCATTTTTAACAATAGGCACCAACGTGAAGGTAAGCCAAGCTGTCTATTAACACAAAACATAACAACAATATTACAGGTTGACAAGCAATAACACCAGTAGTGTAGGCAGGATTTTTGTTGTTTCAGGTATATAGAATTATTTTTTGTTTGGAATTTGTTGTTTCAGATATATTTAGAAGCTGTTGAAGAATTTAGCTTTGTTATGTCTAAAAAACTTTTATCAAATTTTATAAAATTATATCAGTTAATGTGCTATCTTTAAGTTTTAATACACATAACACTCATAAAACTGCATAAGTATGCAAAAAACATTACCTGATGGTACTGCAGATGATATTGATGCTATTGTGAAAATAAAATAAAAAAAAAGTGTATTAAGTAAAATATGTTAAACATTTATGTAATTGATAACAAACATGAAAAAAGTAATGTTTAATTTCAATACATATAAAACCCATAAAACTACATAAGTATGCAAAACACATTACCTGATGGCACTGCAGATGATATTGATGCTATTGTGAAGGTAAAAAAAAAAAAAAAAAGTGTATAAAGTAACATATTTTAAACATTTATGTAATTGATAACAAATATGAAAAAAGTAATGTTTAAGTTTCAATACACATAAAACCCATAAAACTGCATAAGTATGCAAAACGCATTACCTGATGGTACTGCAGATGATATTGATGCTATTGTGAAAGTAAAAAAAAAAAAAAGTGTATAAAGTATCATATGTTAAACATTTATGTAATTGATAACAAACATGAAAAAAGTAATGTTTAATTTCAATACACATAAAACCCATAAAGCTGCATAAGTATGCAAAACACATTACCTGATGGCACTGCAGATGATATTGATGCTATTGTGAAGGTAAAAAAAAAAAAAAAAAGTGTATAAAGTAACATATTTTAAACATTTATGTAATTGATAACAAATATGAAAAAAGTAATGTTTAAGTTTCAATACACATAAAACCCATAAAACTGCATAAGTATGCAAAACGCATTACCTGATGGTACTGCAGATGATATTGATGCTATTGTGAAAGTAAAAAAAAAAAGTGTATAAAGTAACATATGTTAAACATTTATGTAATTGATAACAAACATGAAAAAAGTAATGTTTAATTTCAATACACATAACACTCATAAAACTGCGTAAGTATGCAAAACACATTACCTGATGGTACTGCAGATGACGCTATAGTGGAGGTAAAAAATATATTTACATAAACTAACATATACTAATCATAAATGAAAAACTTATAAACATTAAAATAAATTAACTTGCCAAATATAGAATAACTTTATGTTAAATAAATATGTAATAAAAAAAATAAAGAGCATGACAACAACAATAACAAATTGCTTACTTAGATTCTCAACAGAATCTTCTAACTTTTCTAAATAAAATAAATTTAAAAGTTACAAAAGTCACTTGCTGCCTGACAAACTGTCACAACTGACAAAAGTCAATTGCTAAATAACTTTAAAAAAACTAAAAAAGCATAAATGTATTTGCACACAAAAAAAATAAAAAACAACAACAAAATTCCTCACTTAGCTTGTCCTTTACTTCCGCTAAACATTAAAAAAAAGTTATAATTAACAAATTGCTGAAATTGGTGAAATATATATCTTTGTAACATACCCTTCTTATACAAAACTAATTTACTTGGCAAGAGCTCTTCGGCTCTGATCTCTTGAACATCTAATATATATATAGACAAAATTAATTTTCAAAATATTTACTTTTTCAATTAAACATATAAGATTTGTCTTAAATTATAAAACTGTTGCACAGTTTTATAATTTAACACATTCAGTAAATGACAAAAAGTTTCATTTTACGTAAAAGTTTAGTAGTTAGAAGACTTAAAAGTCAATTTTAGCTTGAACACGTTTTATAAAATTATAGCTTAAACACCTCAAATAAAGCTTATACGCGTTTTTAAGGTTCACTGCTTTACAAAAACATCAATCAAAATAGCGGAATAAACAAAAACTGAGTTTTGGGTCCACCCTTTTAAAGTTCTAAAAATTAATTTATATATTTTTTAATTTTAGTTAAATTTTAGGGGGGTGTACTTGATTCACGGGGTTAGGGGAGGGCGGCATATCTTGGTTGATTTTAAATAAAAACGGCTAATTAAATCATCGTTTTATTCACACCGTAAATCAAGTACAGCTCCGCCACTTTTAGAACATATGTAACTGCTACTATATATAGTATATATATATATGGCTTACTTCGAAAAAATGCAGAAACTTCTTCGTCGCCTAAAGATATACAAAGTTATCTTAATGTAATTTCTTAATAAAATAATAAGCTAAATATCTCAGTATTATTGACGTATCATCTCTTTTTATCTCTTTAATTAATTAATGTTATACAAAATTAAAAGAATACCTTCTGTATCTTGGCTGCTCATTTCTAAAAAATAATCTTAATGTTTATTCTATTGGGTCAAAAACATATTAACTTCAAACATATTAACATGGTAATTATAAAATAAGTTTAATTTTTTAAATGAAGATTACAATAATTAAACTTGTAGATACAACTTACTTGTCGTCCCTCGCTTTGCAATTGTTATAATCGATATGAAGACCACATGGCCGAGTTTTATTGGTTTTAGAGTACAGTTGGCGCACATATCATAATACAAAAATCAGATGGTTTTGAATCTATTAATTAAGCTGTTTTTATTAACGGATTTGATGGATTTAATTAGATAACCGCAAGGTAGTTTTACAGTGGTTTAAGAGTTGGCGTACGTTTCGTAATACAAAAATCATTTAATATTTGTTTATATTAAGATATAAACGTTTCGTAATACAAAAATCATTTAATATTTGTTTATATTAAGATATAAACAAATATTAAATGATTTTTGTATTACGAAACGTACGCCAACTCTTAAACCACTGTAAAACTACCTTGCGGTTATCTAATTAAATCCATCAAATCCGTTAATAAAAACAGCTTAATTAATAGATTCAAAACCATCTGATTTTTGTATTATGATATGTGCGCCAACTGTACTCTAAAACCAATAAAACTCGGCCATGTACTCTAAAACCAATAAAACTCGGCCATTAATATTCGAGCATTTCTATTAGCGGATTAGGCGAAATTTTGTGGGTTTTCTGTTTGTCTCTTTCTAGAGTAACTAATTTTTTTTTTTTTAGGTTTCAGATTACAATTTTTTTTTTTTATACCTTTCCGTACTTTTTAGGACTCTTGACCAGTTAGTTTTAATAAAAATTTCAGATTGCATGTAAAACCTTTTTTTTATGTATATAAGAAAGAAATTTATCTCTTTAATGTGTGTTGAACTCGCAGTTTTAACTAATTACTTAAAACATAAGTATCTATATCATGATATATGCGCAACAAATTTCCAACAGCGTTTTTATATTTTTAAAAATTTTTAAAAACGTTTTAAAAAATTCTCTTCGTTTGGTTTCTTATAGTATATTATATTTTTATTTTTATGTAATGCATATAACATCTATTTGCATTTAAACTTGTTTTTCTTTGTTTTCCAGAAAACTGGATAGGATTTAAAAAAAAAATTGTGTAAGCAAAAGGTTTTGAACCGAAGCGAAGCACTTCAATCGCTGTGGAATGCTATATCATCTTTTTACACTATTTAATAAACAGAAAACTTATTAAACTTTAAAAAACAACATTTAATGCTTTAAAATAAAGAGATATTGTCGCAATGAAATTATTAAGTAAAAATAAATCGGTAGAATTTGATGTCATCTACTTTATAATTATACTGATTTATAATTAAAGAACTTAAAGTTTACATATTTAGATATTTGAATAGACTTTCGTTCACATTGATAAAATACAAATCATAACGGATTGTGGTTCCGAAAAAAAGGTTAATACACTACCATCTATAATTATTGGAAAGGTCATATTTTTTAATATCAAAGATATCAAAGTTTGGCGAAAAAGTGAAAACAATGTCTACCTGAATTATATGTTATCTTCCTATTTATTAGGTTTACCAATAAAACTTCCCTAATTAGTTTATAATTTATTCAAGGCCCTGATTAGCTTTTAATTTATTTGCCTATTAATCACCCTTAACAACAATAACCGCCATAAATATATTCTTTGCATTCTACTTAACGACTTATCTAATTAGTCTATTTTGTCACTAAGTATAAAAAAAAAAAAAAATACCCATGTATTAACTGAATATCAATTTATTTATCTATTTAATTTAATATATATAATATATAATTTAATATATATAATTTAATCTAATTAATATAATTGAAATACTACTAATCAATTTACTGATATTTTTTCTATAGCATTGTTAAAAATGGTCATATTCTGAAAGGTAAAGAAATTTATTGAAAAGAAAGTTGCACAAAAGAAAAAAAAACTAAATAAGAGTTATTCGTTTCAAAAAACGTTTTACAAAGAGTTTTTCCAAATAATTTTATTTTTAATTGGGTTTTTTTTCGAATTACGTCATAAGCATATTAAGGCGTTTTGAAAAACAGTTGCTGCATATATTTATAGTAAAAAAGTTAATGTAGCAAAATAAACTTTTAATTGTCAAAAGAAAGTTTTAAAGTTTTATCTAGCTACAGGCTTTTTTTTTTTTTGCCTCCACAGCAGCATCTTATGAAGTAGCAGGGCTGTCTTGTTAAGTTTTTTCTTTATTAAGTTTCAGACAACTTTTTTTTCAGACCATCCGCAGCTTTTTAGGACTAATTACATTCGCACATTAATAACATAAGTGTGTCAATTATCATAGATACGCAACATATTTTTTCTCCTGGTGATGTTTTTTTTTTTTTTTTAATGTTTTATGAAGTTTTAGCATTCTTAAAATCATTTCTTTTGTGAGTGCATAATATCGTTACGTTACATATGTTTGTATATAATCTTTATAAAACTTCGAAAGTATTTTGTATTTTAAAATAATTAGAAAAATTAAAAAAAATAGCTGCCTTTGGTAGGAGTCGAACCTATAGTTCCTTGTTCAGAAGTTCGCCGCCTTATCCACTCGAGCTACACCGGCATATCACCAAGGGTAGATTTTATAATAATGTAGTAATTTTTTTGAGGAAAAAAATGTTAAATCAAAATTAAGGAGGGGTTGACGCAATGTAATTTTCAAGTAAAAACCAAACTGTAAAACGTGATAAATATTTCAGTATGTTTTAACATATGCTTTAACATTACATAAGTTAAAGTTTACGTACGTTAGATGTTCGTTCACGTTTTCTTATAGCGCTGCGACTTTTTCTTGCCAACACCTCGGTTGCAATGGCTGCCAAGGGTTTCGTGTCAAATACGCTCCAAGGGACACTACTATTAAAACTATTAAGTTCGGCAATATTATATAGAAGATTAATTATTATTATTAGTAGTAGTTTTTTTTTTTTTTTTTTTTTCTTATTTTTAGGGAGTTCTTTTTAAAATTAGTTTTTTTTGTTTTTTTGTTTGTTTCAGTTTTTTTTTTTTTTTTTACAAAGTCATTTTGTTTTGTTTGGTTTTGTAAGGTCTGCTTTGAATTGGTCTTGTACTATTTGCTTTCCCTTCACAAAAATACCGTAAAATATTAAGTATCAAATAAAGATAATAAAAAACTAGTTTATATATGGCGATTTTTTGCGTCAACTTTCTTTTCTGCCCATTCACGAATGATAAGTTTGTCGTAGAAGATAAATACATACTTTCCTTGTTCTCTTTCTTTTAACATTTTAGCTCTTAAGTCTTTTCGTATTTGAACAGTTTTGTAACAGAAATCCTTGTTGATATATGTTCATTCCTTTAAGCATTACAGATCTCCTCAATATATCAATCTTATCTTTATAGTTTTAAAATTAATGTTCTATTCTTTTTAGATTCTCTTGGTCCGGCTCTATGTGCTCGTTCAATTTTAACATTTTTTATTTCAAGCGTCTCCTCAAATAGTTTCAAAACTTTTAACTCACTTTCTTCCTAGCTTTTGTGTTCACTTTCTTTTATATCCTTAGGTTATTTCTTCTCGATCGATCTTCTATTTCCCTTAACTCGTTTATTTTATTTACAGCGCTTTTATCTTTTACCTGACTCCTTACTTTCTTTGTTTGCTCTTTTGCTTTTTCAAATTTTTATGCGACAATTTCATTGTTTACATGAATAAATTTTTTTGATATCATTTAACTCATTTTCTAAAAACGATATCTTTTGATTAGATATTTCCAAAGCTTTTGTAATACCAACAATATTTTTTGAACTGTTTATTATGTCTGTTTCAAGCTTTTTAAGTCTTTCGGTAATAATTTTTAAATTAGCAGTCGTAATTGGAGTAAAACTTTTTTCTAGTTTTTTTAACAGCTTATGACTTTCAGCAACTATTGTGTTTTTTTGTTTTTCCAAAAGTAAGTCGATTGCTCTATACTTTTTATTTTAAGATCCATTTTTAAATTTATTTATGTATTTTTTTATAAACTTTTTCTATTTTTATAAATATTTTCTTTGAGCAGCGAAAAAAGCGTGCGTTCACTTCAGCGTTCATACTTTTTTTTTGACATTTAGTGAAAGTTTATTATTTGTAACTAAGTCATTTATTTTTAGTAATTCTTTGTTAGATATTCTAAACAGATCTTTTAAATTACTGTTTGAGAATATAAAAAATCGAATCATCAGCAAATAAAATAACATGTGCAATAATAGTTGATAACTAATCTTAAAACCGATGCAATACTTATCAAAGAATACAGTTAATACAAAAGGTTAAGGAGTCGTCTGTTAAGAACGAATGCTTTTATTTTGACCTCCCTCCCCCGCATTTTGAATACACTTTTTTGAGTACCCTCCACCTCTCTAAAAGTAACTACGTATTAAACCTACCTACCCAACATTTTATGATATGTTTTTTTAACTTTGTGTCTCCTTTGTTTTATAATTGATTCACTGCCCTTCCATTCCAGATACGCCATTTGCAGACCCTCTCTTCCCCTCCGAGCGTACGTACTTTATGGACAATTATTAATATTAAACTTTCGAGAGGTTAATTCTTGTTCTTATATATTTTTAATGAATATTTCATGTTTGCTTCTTTACCATTCAATTCATAGTCAACACCATACATTATATTTTATACACTACAACACTATACATACAACGCATACACACAAATATACTTATACACAAATAAACATACAAAAGTTAAATAAACACATACAAAGATATACATGTATATATATATATATATATATATATATATATATATATATATATATATATATATATATATATATATATATATATATATATATATATATATATATATATATATATATATATATATATATACTAAATATAAAAACGGCGGGGCGACTTTGTTCGTTCTTTTTATGCACTTCTCTTTTACGGAAGGCTCAACTTGCTTTTGTCCTTTCGTTGCCGAAGAGTGCAAAAACGTCGGTGGAAGTCGCCTTTACAAGCTTTTTGCTAGAAGGGTTTTGGTAGTGGCTTTGCAGCCAAAGCAATGTTTCGCTTATTTTATCCTTTGACCTCAGATCAGACAAGACTACGCGCTGAATTTAAGCATATTATTAAGCGGAGGAAAAGAAACTAACAAGGATTCCCCTAGTAACGGTGTGCTTTGGATTCGGCAAACTTTTTTCAATACGTTAATCTCTGTTAAATTAATGTTACCAACAATCTCATTTTCAATAGAAATTAGAGACATTAATTCATTGTGGTTCTTAAATAAGTTTTATTCAGCTTTAGTTTAAAAAAGCTTCGTTTCTCTGAGGCTATAGTACTTAGCATAGTTTCTACAATTCGCAAAGCCACACATAGGTTTGGAAATATATCCATTAGCTTGTTACTTTTTAAACATTTTAATGGTGTCATATTTGATCGAACTGCAAATGATTACAGTTGTAATCATTTGCAGTTCAAAAAATAATTATTTTCCATCGATGTCAGAACATCCCTCAAAAGTTAGTTTAATTTGTAAATCAAAGCAGTTATTTTTAAGTTCAGAAAAACTTACCTTTTATAAAGAATGTACGTTAATTAAAAAACCAAACACTGATACATAATCATTTATTTTATTAAATCTCTCCTTCAATGAAACAACTACATTATCAATAAGAACATTGAAGAATTCTGTTCTTATAACGTTCTTAAAGAAAAACTTTTCAATTGATTTCCAAGCGTTTCAGCTTTGTTTCGGCAATCGGCAGGAAAAGAATCGCTACAAATTATTTCATATAATGCGTCGTATATTTCTCCAACCTGCTAACGTAATGCTTTAACACTGTTTATGCGTGCTTCCCACCGAGTGTTTGAAAGTGACTTTAGAGTTAAACCTTCTCTTTGAAAGTATTTTTAAGGAAAAAAAAAACACTAAACTAAATGAAGATTTTGCAGCATCAGATAAAAATAAATTCAAATTATGACAGGCACAGGAAACAAAAAAAGCCAAAGGGTTTAGACTAGAAATTCTTGTTTGAACACCAGAATGGCGACCTTTCAAGTTTGCTCCTTTAACGAAACCTTGACCTCGACAGTTCTGCATGTCTAATCCTAGTTTTTTTAACTCATTTAAAAAAACATCTGTGAGTTCTTGTTTGACAGTTCCCAGGTAAAAACGAAATGAAACTTCTTTTATGGCAACTTCTGATTCTATCTGAACAAAACAAAACAACATTGCTCAGTTTGAGAATAAACGAAAAGCTAAGAAATGTGTAACTGAAAGAAGTCTTTCTAACACAGCTACCATTTTTAAACACGCGTTTACCATCACATCTACTTAAGTGTAATAAGAAGCACTGAATTTTCAAGAATTTTTTTTCATCTTGAGGAAAAGAAATATTTTCAATGCGCACAGGACCTTGTTTGACAACTTAAACGATTACAATCGCTAAGGTATTTAGGCCACAGTCCAGGGTCATTGCCTAATGGCTGTTGAACAATTTGTTTATGATTATTGGGATTTTTATGGTTTTTTTCCGAAAGCGTCACGCAAATTTACTTCATCAGTCGTTAGATTATTACTTTCAGACAACTGTTTTTCATCCGTATCTTTATATTCTATATAAGTAATTGTAATTCCAGTGGAGATACTTCCTTCATTTGCAACAACCCGAGTGAATAACATGTCATGCTCACTTTCTAGAGATTGAGTGACATCTTCTCTTCTTACTCGGTATAAAGATCCACTCGGAATTTCTCCAACAGTAAAATTATTAGTATCACAGGACATTTTAAAATACTTGTTTAGAGTAACAGTCTGTCTATTAAGGAATACTGTTTGTGTAAAGTTTTTTTTTCTTTTCAGAGCACCAGATACATACTTTTAAATCACGTGACTCGCCATTCCACCCACAATTTGAACTTTATCTCACGGATTTATTTAATTTAACTTTAATTATTCCCATATTCTGCAAAACTCCAATAAAATATCAACAAACCTCCATTATTGAAAATCCAGCGTGGGTTTAAAACTATGGATTATGTGTGGCCACACCTTGTAGAACTACACAGTTTGCACTAAACATTGGTTTATGGTCGGAAACGTTGGTTTATGCTCGGAAACTATAAAATTTGTTTGTGGTTGTTATAAAAAAAAAGTTAAAATTGCAATATAATACTTAATATCGCAAATAAAATATTTGACTTTCAAATTATTAAATAAAGAATAGTTTTATTATTTATTCTCCCGCAAAAATGGTGGGGCCCTTAAAAACTGAGAAAATGCGAGGCCCCGGATATATACATATATATATATATATATATATATATATATATATATATATATATATTATATATATATATATATATATATATATATATATATATATATATATATATATATATATATATATATATATATATATACTAAAAACTTATGACAGAAAGCTACAATTACAAACAGCTAATAAATGGAAAGTCTCTACGCTTGCAAAATATAATGCTAATGATTGGCTTGAAATTGAAAGCGTTGACGGAATAGTTACAGCGCTAAAATGCAAAGTATGCCGAGAATATGCATTGCAATTTCAGATTTTAAAAGGCTACACTCCGGAATGGAGCTGTGGAAAAGGATGTAGTCGATTGCAACATAGTTCTGCAATCACGCATGCAGAGGGAATGTCTCATCAGAAGGCTTTTGAGATTTTTATGAAAACGAGAGGCATGAATTTGTGCGATCGAATTGAAAAACTAAACGAGTTGCAGCAGGAAATGCGGCAAACAGACATTTTATCCGGTATTCAAACCATGAATAGTAAAGACTTGGAGTTGACAAAAAAAAATTTGAGGTCGCTTACTTTATAGCAAAAGAAGAACTATCGCTTTGCCTATACCCAAAAATAATTCAATTAGAAGAGAAACATGGTGTAGTTTTTGGTCAGGCTTATAAAAACGAAAACACATGCGGAGTATTTATTGACTACATTGTTCTTAGTTTAGCGATAGATCTCAAAAATAAACTAAATACTCGAAATTTTTTCACTATTTTAATTGACGGTTCTAACGACGTTTCAATTAAGGAAAAAAAAGCTATATTTGCCGTTACTTTTAATCCGCCTCCAACTGGAAAATCTGAAGTAAACGTTGAATGTGATTTTCTTTCACTTTTGGAGTCAAAAAAAAAAAAGTCACTCGAGAATATAGAAGTCGTAAATTGCAATAAAAAACTAGTTGGATTTGGTGCGGATAGCGCATCCGTTAACAGAGGGAGCAAGTCGGGCGTTAAAATGTTGCTCAAGGCTGAAGTCCCCTGGATCACGTTTGGCTGGTGTGTAGCACATCGTCTCGAGTTATCATTTGAAAGAAAAATTAGGAAAAACAGCCTTATTCAATGACGTTGATTACATGATTTTAAAAATGCATTACATTTACAAAAAATCCCCAAAAAGTTAAGACAGTTGGGTGAACTCGTTTCTATTTTAGAAAATGATGAATATAACATTGGTGGTTACCGACCTAAGAAAGCCTCCGGTATTTTCTTTTTTTTGCTTGATTTATTTATCTTATATTTGTTACAATTACAGTTATGCGTGACGCCTATATTTTTAGTTTTTGCAAGTATAAAGTAAATTATAAATTGTATAATCTTGTTTCATTTTTAGGTACAGGATGGATTTCACATAAAGTTCAGGCTTTAGAAATGATTTTAGATAAATACGGTGTTTATTTAACACATCTGGAAAATATGACTGAAGATATAACATTTACCAATGCTGAAAGAGCTAAGTTTAAAGGATACCACAAAAAGTGGATTCATGCTAGAATGCCCCTTTATATCGCGTTGTTTATTGAGATTTTAGCACCAGCAAAGATGTTGTCAAAATGTTTTCAAAGTGATGAGATAGATGTGTTGGCTTCATCAGGGTTTGTTCAACAAGCTAAAAGCCATTTAAATCGTATTCAAAAAACAAAGTTTATTAATTTGCCAACAGTAAAACGTTTTCTCGCCAAAGTGACTGAAAAAGAAGGAAAGTTTTATTTCCAGGGTGTTGCACTTAACGACTTTGTAAATGCTAAACATTTAGTAAAAAAGTCTAAATCTATTCATATCGAGTTGGTAACAAATTCAATCATAGAGCGTTTGGAAACAAGCGATACTATTACTGATATGTATGGTACAAAAGTTTTAAATACAGAAGGTTGGCTTCAAAGTATTGAAAATGAAACATTCCTGGATGAAGGAATAGAAAATCTTTTTGACTTTTATAGAGCGCCGTTGTGACATGCTGGTTTTGCAGGAACTGTAAATGATGTTTTGGATGCTTGGCATAGCTTGGTAAACTACACTGTAAAATATTTAGCACCACATAATACCGGTTATCGTAAGTTATGGCATCAAATTTTTTCTAGCTCAATGAAAAATGAATGGGTTCCGGTTTTACTTATTGTCGAACTATTATTTACTTTGCCTGTTTCTAATGCGAAAGTTGAACGCCTTTTTTCACTAATGAATAGAGTAAAAACGGATACAAGAAACTCTCTGAAAGAGAAACGTTTAGAAAATTTAATTCGAGTAAGTTTCGATGAAAAAGATTCCAATTTATTTGATTTAAGTTCTGCTATCGAGTTATGGACCAATGATGCCGTGCGAAGGCCAAAACAATCAGTAAGAAAATGCTATTCCAAAAGAGCAAAAAAAGCAGGATTAAAAACATTAATCGACTTGGATTCATCATCTAACGAATCAAGTAATGAATAGCGCAAAACGAGATTATTTTCTCACCTTTTTTTAGTTTAAAAAAGTTTTAATAATCAAATATTGGTTAAAAAGTTCATTACCTTTTTATTGTGTCATTTTTGTTAAAAAACGATCATTATATAAAAAACAATTGTTCGAGTCACAAAAAATATTTTTACGTCACTTAAAAGGCAACGCGTTGAAGTGAAAAAGTGAATTAAGAGCTAAGTTTAAAAGTAAAAACTATAAACGATAACGCGGACGTACGCTGTTGTATTCAAAAAACAATAGCGTTCAGCTAGTGTTCTAAAAATAGATTTTTTTAGTACTAAAAGGCATTAAGGTAAAGATATTTTAGAAAATTGCACAAAATCAATAGAATGATTGACAGCGGTAAAACAAACAATTTGACGTCACCTAAACTGTACGCTATTAAAGAAAAAGTTAAGAAAAATTTGATCGTCTGGATAATTTTTTGATCGTCTACATTATTACTTTTATTATTTCTGCCGATCAGTGTTGATCGGCAACCTTCAAATAATTATTTCGAGCGCTGTATATATATATATATATATATATATATATATATATATATATATATATATATATATATATATATATATATATATACATACATATATATATATATATTTATATATATATATATACATACATATATATATATATATTTATATATATATATATATATATATATATATATATATATATATATATATATATATATATATATACATATATATATATATATATATATATATATATATATATATATATGTATATATATATATATACATATATATATATATATATATATATATATATATATATATATATATATATATATATATATATATATATATATATATATATATATATATATATATAAAATTTATTTCATTTTATAAGCCGTATTACAGGTCATATAAACAGCAATATATTATAAGACTAACAAAAATATAAAAAATAAAAACAATTAATTAGGTTGTCTACGTTAAAAATTTACTAGTGATTAAAATAAAAAAGCCACGAATTTGAATATCTTTTTAAAATATTTAAAGTAATAACATTTGTAATAACATTTATAATTATCTTTTTAAAATATTTAAAATTATAACATTTATTGCTAAAAATATATAAATATAATATCCAATGCAAATAAACTACTAAGTGGAACCCTTTTACTTTAACTTCTTGTTCAAAACTTCCTTCATGTTCAAAAAACTTTTATTTATCTTGTTTTTTTTCCTTGAACATCAATGCTTTATAATTCTTTAATTATCAAATGTAATAAACAATGTAAATAAATAAACTCTTTTAGTTTTATTTTAAAAATGGGTAATGTATTGACAATTTTTTTTTTTTTCTTTCCTTGCATATTCAATATAGTTTATACAATAAGATAGTTTAGATAAAAATCATAATGCAATAAAAGAAAATATATACAAAAAAAAGAACGCGGAGACTCGCAGAAGACCTTCAGGTCTTATCATCGAGAACCGCTCGTGAATATTAAGTACATTAAATTAACATGAAGTACAAAATCAAAAAAAACAAAACAATGTCGTGGTAAAAGTTAGTAATAATTAGCGAGAACGTAAACTTTGTAATAATATAAATCTACAAATCTCTTATTTACAAATCTACAAATCTCTTATTCGTCCCTGTATGGAATACTGTTGTCATATTTGGGCTGGTTCTTCTAACGATTCACTTTCTCTTCTTGACAAGGTCCAAAAACGCATTGTAAATGTTGTTGGACCTGGACTATCTGCTAAGCTTGAACCTCTTTCCCATTGTCGTAAAGTTGCATCTCTTTCTCTTTTCTACAGATACTATCATGGTCACTGCTCAAAGGAGTTATCATCTTTAGTTCCATCAACTAAAATTCATTCTCGTTTTACTCATCATTCAGTTAAGTCTCATTCGTTTACTGTATCTGTCCCTGCATGCTCTAAAAACTTTTATTCATCTAGTTTTTTTCCTCGCACTTCAATCCTTTGGAACTCTCTCCCATCTTCATGTTTTCCTGACTC